CTATTGTTCCAGTCTAGTAGGAAGAATATTTCAATATTCAATTGCAAAGAACATTAAAAAACCGACATCGATTTACACATTCACATCACTAAGGTGATCTTTATGCTCTTATGTAATCACTGTCCAAACTCTGCCACTCAACAACGAAGGCCCAAGTACCAACATGGTTTGTTACAGACACAACATGACACAACCCACACATGTTTTTTCATATATAATATATTAAATAATTTAAAAAAATATGATATAATTTGTAATTTGACTTGAAAATAAAAGGACAAGGTGTATCAGAAAGTAATCTCTTCCCTGATCACTCTACCCCTAATGCCGACTGCCATCAAGATCAGCTTTCAACCAGACTATTATTGATTCATTATTATTATATTCTACCATGATCAGCCTCTCATGATATAAAATTCATCTAAAATAATATAAAGTCTTCAATAACAGACAAAATATAAACATAATTTGTAATTTGACTTGAGAATAAAAGGAAATGTTGTATCAAAGGTGACGTCTCCCTTTACCTTCTCTCTCCCCTCTCTCCCAAAAAGAGTAACCTAACCAAAAAATTCAATGTGAGAGAAGCCATTTATTATGATGACAAATAAAATAATATACAGTGGAACCTCGATAAATTGGATTAATTGGGCCGAAAAATGTGAAAGTCTGAAAAAGCGAATTCAGTGATATCCCCGTTACCCGGAACAATTGGTGTAGAGCACTTCCGGAAATGAGAGATTTCCGGGTAACGAGACGACTCTCTCAAAGCAGGAAAAAATCCCTCAACCCCGGAATTTTCTGGGTAATGGAAAAATTTTCTTGGAATTTCCAGAAAATGCACCTGATTTTTGTCTCAAACCCGGAAAAAATTCCCCACCCCCGGAAGTTACCAGGTATCAGGAAAATTTTCTTGGAATTTTCCGGAAATGTGTCCCTGAAAAATTTCAATTCCGGCTATCGGAGAGTTCCAGGTTTGAGGGGGGGGGGGTAATACTGCTTATCTGAATTGTTTAAAGATAATCAGTTGTTGTTATGTTGTTACTGCATTTCAACAACTATATTCTTTAAGTGTATAACAACGTTATTAAAACAATAATACATCAACAATAAAATATATGAAACAGAACTCTCCGGGTTGAAAATCTGACATTTAAGTCTGGTTGTCAACAACTGTTGTCACCGAGATGATTCTTATTTACTGTAAAGTGATATATGTAAGTTACCACAGAATTTGTCTTATGAATAAAGAGAAAGTTGTAAACTGTACAGTACTATAAAAATAAGAACAAATAAGCGTAGTAGTATATTTTATGTGGAAGATAAATGTTTATCTGTGAGCAGCTGGCAGATGGGTGGGGGGGGGTTTGCATGGGTGGGTGGCTCCCTTCCCCTCTCTTCCACAAGATTCCTCAAACACTTCTTTATGCAATTCCACCACAATTCTCATATAATTTAAGATCATTTGGTGCCAGGTTGATAAAATATTATCCTACAAGAATCAGCTTTCCTGAAAAAAGAATCCTACACTGAACACCATGAATCATTTCATACACGTTTGTTTACAAAGAACAAACAGTTGACTGGCTTACCACAATGTCTGTCTTCAGCACTTAGTAAATGAGTACAGTGCAGTTGTGTATTTATTATCATTTAATAAATTCGATTGCAGTGTATTTATCACCACTTAATAAATACTATTGAAGTGTATTTATCATCACTTAATAAGCAATATTATAGTGTAAAGTATTATGCATATGCATATACTCTGGTTTATTCAGTAATCATTTGTTTAAGTGTACAAAGAGCCAAACTGAGTCATCATCCAATACTTAAAGGTAATACATAATGTTTTAAAGAAGGTATCTTCATATCAAATACTATACAGTACAGTGTGTTATAGTGACCCCAGTTGTAAGCTGGTCTGCAGAAAGTTCTTACAGGAATGCATCTTGAGTAAATAACCTTCTGATACAGCTTATCTTTTTATTTTCAAGTCATATTACAAATTACATACAGTATTGTATTTTGCTCTATTACTGAAGATGATATATTAATCATGATGAACCATAGTCCATAAGAGGCCAAACATATGAAAATATAATACCGAATCAATAAATAAATAAACCTGACGAATGTGGCAACATCTGATTAGACCACTGTCCAGTATTCAGTAAGTGTGGTTCATTTCATAAAATTTGTTGATTTATCTTTCCCAGTTCTCTATTTTTGTATAAGTATTTCTGGTGACCAGAGCATCTCAGAGTCAGCAAAAAGCGAATTCCGATATATTGAAGTCCGATTTATCGAGGTTTTACTGTAAGGTATCAAAATGAAGTTATTTACTTTACTGTATACTTTATCATTTTTATTTTAAAATACCGTAATGGAGGCTGAGACTTGATAAAACTTGTTTTACTAGGAATGAGGGTTTGAGCCATTACTTCCCAAACACAGGTGTCTGCAGATGGCTGTATTTCTCCAGTAACCATATAGAACAGGTATATGGGCATGGGACATCAACATTGTGAGGCCAGAAACAAGCAAAAGTTCAAAGAGTACATCACGCACGTGATGGCAGGCCTGCTGAATCTAAATATTTTCCGTGAGTCCACAGAAATTTCCACTACCCTGTAATTGCTTTCAAAATGTGTGGGGATACCTTTTAAAACTCTTAATGGCAGAAAAAGTGGTTCACAAAATGGATACATCTGGTGGTGATGGAGTGGGGCAGGTGTGTGTATGTGACATGGATAGTGCAAAATGTGCTCATCTTGTGTCTCTTCCCGGGAGGATTACCATCGCCATTGTTTGAATTATTTTAACTAAAATCTTTCGATTTTTCTGTGTGTTGAACTTAAGCCTGGCCTGTCATTTTTCGATAATAATCTACATTTATTCATTGCTAGTGTACAATATTAATTGTTACAAGTCCACTCGCCATCATTTCCTGTGTTGGTGGTGCCTCAGCGATTCTACTGATGGGTATTAATCAATATTCATGTATTCTCATGTAGATTAAAGAACTGTTCAATATTTTACCTTTCAAAATCATACAATCTACTTTCGAGGTATCCCCCACTTTTGCATGACACAAAATTAGCGTTCACCTGACAGACTCGTGATTTTTTAATCTGACTCGCCACAAGGCTTTTTCACTCATCACCCGGTGAGTATGATTGGGCAGCCTTGATTGTTGACACCCTCCTATCCAGTACGCATGGAGAAGCACTTCGACCATTTTTACTATGGGTAAACACTTTACAGTACGAAACAATCAAAGCTATCAGTGAAAAAGTTATCGACAACCAGACTTATGTCTGATATTCCGGACAATGTTCAGATAAGCAGGGTTATGTCCAGACCCCCATAGATTTGCTTTTGGGGGGAATGGAGTCTGCCCCAATTTGTCCGATTTAATGAGGTTCTACTGTGCTGTATTTGCAAGGTCCCAGTCCCTCTTCATGGGTAAACTGATGACTATGTCATTAAGTATGTGATTTTGATACCTAAAATATAAAGGTAAGACTGTGGCCAATAATTGGCCATAATATATTATATGGAGCATTTTTGGGCCAAAAACATGAAGCCAACTATAAAGGCTACTGACCAGTTCAATGAGGTGACTGGGACTTTCGAGGAGAATTGGATATGCTGTCCAGTTGTAACCATATGACACTAGGCTGTGAAGCACCTGCATATTAGCACTGCAAGTGAGGACTCTTAGCTCCACATACAGTACCTCCATTTTTAGGAACTACGGGTGAGTTAGGAGACATTTATGATATACAGTGGTCCCTCGGTTAACGAACACAATCCGTTCCAGCAGGTTGTTCGTTAACCGAAAAATTCGTTAACCGAAACCATTGTTTCAATGGGTTTTGGGTAATTGGTTCCAGCTCACCGAAAATTGCCTAAATTCAACAAAAAAGGTAGAAAAGTACACTTACATTGAGGTGTGTATGTAGAAGGCTCCTGGATGATGATGATGATGATGATGATGGGAATTAGAATGGGGGTGGAGGAGAAGGAAGAAGAGAAGGCATTGGGGTGGAAAAGAAGTCACCCCATGGCACCATTTCACCCTTAAAATTTTAGTTCTCTTGGTGTATTTCAAGATTATTTTCTTTAAATCAACACTGCACTGCATTATATATTGTCAATATGTAAAATATATATCAAAATGACCAATAATTTGCTTGGAAACAGAAAAAAAGCGTTTAGTTGAAGAGAGTCTCAAGCAAGATGTTACCTCCACTGAAAACAGGGAGAGACTAACGCCTGTCTGGTGTGTTAACAGGCTGGATGGCACGCCAGAAACTAGTTTCTTTACCTTCAATTATGTTCAATAATTGTTAAAATGACTAAAAAATAATATTAAACTTTTAAAATTATTGAATAGTACAGTATAAACTTCTTGATATTTACTAAAATAGTAAGGAATTTAAGCCCTAGAACCGATTAATGTATTGGCGGACTAATACTAAAGCTGGTTGACCGGCTAGTGCAAGCGAAAACATGTTGAGGTCGGTTCGTAAGAAATTCGTTAACCGAATTTTTGTTCGTTAACTGAATTTAAGAATCTTATGGGAAGCAGTTCGTTAACCGAAATTTCGTTAACCGAGGCGTTCGTTAACCGAGGGACCACTGTATTGTACTGTATAGTATTAATCACACACCCGGGCTCCTAGGAACCCAGGAGTGCCAAACCCATTGCATGAGATATAAATTAATGTCTAAAATAAATTATTCAGTTTTTTAACAAATTATATCTACATAAGCTTTAGTATAAGTATTAGCAGAATATACAGTATACTGTAACCTGGTGACTTATGCTGAACTCCTTTTATATGACGATGCTGTTGAGTACCTAAGAACATTTCCCCGTCAGTCTTACAGCTTACAGCTTTTCAAACAAAATAAAAAACAAATAATTGTATCAACTACAATCTCAGAATTATTAGAATAAAATGAAGTAAAAAGCTAAGCCTTAAACTTACCATTCCAGTGACCATGGTATTGAAGAAAATTATGAGGAATACTGGATGCGTTAATAAACCAAAATTTAACATCGCTGAAAGCCTTGGAAGCTTGATTCCACAAATGACATGAGGTTTAAGAGTTTGACTACTAATAACATTTGGTATCTTGATATTAAACTCTTGGCTTCTTTCTCTTTCTGCTTGAAATCTGTCTTTGACTTTTTCATTCTTTACTGATAAGGCACTGGTAAACTGGTAGATAATATCACAATTAAAGTAAAAAATGCTTTCACTAGTGGTTGCTTTTATGAAAGACTCGACACTTTTTGAACTTATAAAGCTTACAGGTCTATTTCTTGTATCATTTTCTCTGTTTAAAAACTCAATTCGCTCATTTCCAATCTGTTGGTCATAAGTTTCAAAACAATCCTCATCTTCACTCTCTTCTGGAATCTGGGGAAGAATTTCCATACTTCTCTCTATGCTCACTGTGCGAGGCCGCTCCAGGTATTCATTTGTCTGTAATGTATCAGTTAATGGGTTTTTCCATGGTCTTTCGTTACATAAATTTAAAGAATCTGATAATCCCTTTTTCATGCTGTCACTACATAGAGTCAAATCTTGGCTACCACACAAGTCCTCTTGATCACTATCATCACTTTCTTCTTTATCTGATGTTAAATGTTTAACAACACTGTCATCTTCATGTGAATTTAAATCTTTCTGATCATCCACCTTCCCAGCAACAACTAGTTTGTTGCCAAGGGTATAACTATAACTTTTTCTCTGACTTTGCCCACCATTCTGTTCTATCGTCAATGATTCCAAAGCAGCTACTCTTTTAGGTTTCATATGCCACTCAATTGGTTGGAATAAAAAAGCACCAATCAGAGCATGAAAGAGTAATCCAGACCATATCATAAAGGTGCCCTGGACTGCATAGTGTTCTACAAGGAAACATATGAGAAGTGGCATGATCATGAACCCTACAGATACGCCCAGTAAGGAGAGCCCATTTGCTGTAACTTTCTTGTGGTGGAAGAATTTCTGGCTGTTGAGGAAGCACTGGGGCATAACCAGCCCATTGCCAAAACCTGAGAAAACAGAATAAAATGTTACTCCAAAATGATATAGTTGACTTGAAAAATTATTAATGGAATCCATTTCTATCTAGTACATAAGGACTTCTTTAAGTTTACAAAATCATAACCTAATCAATCTCATCAGGCATTCAGAGGAGTCAAAATAACTAATGATATACAGTATACAGCTGACCCTTGCCTTATGCTATGGTGGCGTTCTGCGACAACACAGCATAAAAGGAAAGCGCATATAGTGAATGCTACAAAAGTTGTTGAAAAATCATTACAATACTCTAAATGTAGGTTAGAAATAGATAATATAATATGAAGCTATAAAATAAGACTTATGAAGAGCATGGGTATTTGTATAGAAAGTGAAAGCATGCGGAGTGGCAGACTCACCACTCCAGCCGTGTCCCATGACGTTGCATACAGCATAATAGACACAGACACACACACACACACTCTGCCATGTTTCACAACCATTTCTGGAGCATTAATGCTATAAAAGTTGCAGAAAAAACATTAAAATAGTCCAATGTGGTGGCTTAGAAATAAAGATAATATGATATAAAACCATAAAATAAGAACAAATAAAGAACATGGGTGGGTAGAAAGTGAACAGCCTGATAACTGCAGAGCCCTCCCTCCTTCTGCCTCCAACCCTCCCTCAATGTGACATCACATACAAACACATCATTTATATAGAAGTTTGGTGTTAATACAGTAAACCAAAAATACAGTGTGGCATAGTGTATGTGGCCAGTTGTCTAATTTCTCTTTGTTAGGCTCACATACATTCGTGCATGTGGGAGATTTCTCACTAAGGATGGAGGTGAGAAAGGAAACTCACAATGGTGTTATATATATATATATATATATATATATATATATATATATATATATATATATATATATATATATATATATATATATATATATATATATATATATATATATATATATATATATATATATATTATGTGCAAGTGAATCACTGTAGTTGCGCGTGATCCAGGTATATGCTGATAACCACAAGGAAAGAAGAAAACACGAAGTTCCCAAGCGCTTTCGTGTAATTCACATCTTCAGGGGTGAGTACAAACTAAGGAGAAGTACAAAACAAGGTGTATATATACAGAGGAGGGTGAGATCAGGTCCACAATGGTCAGGTATTAGGTAATGACCCTACTAATCTTTAAAAAGCACCACAACGGTCGGTAGTCAGGTCAGAGGGTAAGGTGACCCAACCTTCTCACCTGGTCACAAATCTTCTTAATTACAAAATTGTCCAGTTTGTACATGCCATTACTCAAATTCATGTTGACTGCTTCGGTATGTTTAATGAGACTAGATTCTAGAATATTCCTACTGTCAATTGAATTACAAGGTAATATTGAGGAGGCATTATCCCAGTCAATGCAATGCTTATTATCCCTCAGATGAACAAACAGACCATTGGATTCCTGGCCTGTCCTAACACTATATTTATGTTGTTTAAGTCTAGTTACAAGATCTTTACCTGTTTGGTTTAGATATGTAGATGATGTATTATGTCTCTGGCCAAGTAATGCGGACCTAAAAGCTTTCCTGTCACAACTTAATAACTTAGCCCCCTCGATCAAATTCACTGTGGAATTAGAGCATGACTGTAAATTGCCATTCCTAGACTGTCTGTACACAGAATAGGTAACACTTTTAAGTTCAGTATTTATAGAAAACCTACTAATGTGTGTTCATACATTCATTATTATTCTGCCCACCATAATAGAGTCAAACAGTCAGTATTTTCAACAATGTTTTTACGTTCTTTGAGAATTTGCAGCCCGGAATTCATTGATGAGGAATATAAATATATCTATAATATTGGCTCAAACCTTAAATACCCTAGATCTTTCATAGACAAATGCCTGAACATAACTAAGAAATTTTTTATAGAACTGATCCCAAGCCCACCCATGACCATAAGAAAATCTTAGTACAGTGGGGTATGCTATAACGAACGTAATTGGTTCCAGAACCTCGTTCGTAATAGCATTCGTTCGTTATAGGATTAATCCGTTCCAGGCCCCCAAATACAACCACTTAACACTGAAAAAATTCTGTGGAAAATGTAAAAAATACGGTACTTTATCTGACCTTAGTGTTATTCAGCATGCAGGTACCCCTAAACACTGGCACATCACTATCACTTCCACTGGGAGTCTTGGCTTTAAGGTCCTCAAACAATTGTCTGGCCTTCTCACAAATTATAGGTTCACTAATGTTACCACCTGCCATTTCTTTCTCCTTTATCCACACTAAGAGTAAATTTTCCATCTCTTCAATCACATTACACCTTGCTTTGCTAAGTCTAAAGATTCCCTTAGCCACTTGCACAGTTTTTAACTCTTCTTTATTCTTCAAAATCGTACATATAGTCGATTTAGCCATCCCATATTCATCACTAAGTTTCGCAATGCTTCTTCCATTCTCACGTTTCTTTATAATTTCTTTCTTAGTTTCAAGGGTTATTAGCTTTCTCACTTGCTTTGGACGACTCATTCTTACAATTGTATACTTGTATAACAAAATAGTTATACAAATAACGCGAATTTCCACATCAAAAGACAAAATTTCAACAATAACAGTGGTGCACTGGCTACACAATGAGACAAAGATGGCGCCTGACGCTCTTGTTGTGGGTTGCGGTACAACAATATTCATGCGGCAGGCGAAATAGTCCTGTATTCATCCGCGTTCGTTGTAGGAGTTGCGTTCGTTATAGCATTCTCAATTTTATAGGTAAAACCGTTCGTTATAGGAATATTCGTAGTAGGATCCGTTCGTTATAGCATTCCCCACTGTACTGTATTACCATTTCAGAAAAATTTCTCTCAAATTCCTTTACAACTAAAAACCTGGAACGTCAATGTGGCATTTAAAAACTCATGCACTGTTAAACAAATGTTAATCAAGAACTCCCCCAACAACACAATTGGTTGCATTTATAAAGTTCCTTGCAAGGAATGTAATATGTTTTACTTAGGGCAGACAGGTAAAGATCTTGTAACTAGACTTAAACAACATAAATATAGTGTTAGGACAGGCCAGGAATCCAATGCTCTGTTTGTTCATCTGAGGGATAATAAGCATTGCATTGACTGGGATAATGCCTCCTCAATATTACCTTGTAATTCAATTGACAGTAGGAATATTATAGAATCTAGTCTCATTAAACATACTGGAGCAGTCTAACATGAATTTGAGTAATGGCATGTACAAACTGGACAATTTTGTAATTAAGAAGATTTGTAACCAGGTGAGAAGGTTGGGTCACCTTACCCTCTGACCTGACTACCGACCGCTGTGGTGCTTTTTAAAGATTAGTAGGGTCATTACCTAATACCTGACCATTGTGGACCTGATCTCACCCTCCTCTGTATATATACACCTTGTTTTGTACTTCTCCTTAGTCTGTTCTCACCCCTAAATTACACGAAAGCACTTGGGAACTTCGTGTTTTCTTCTTTCCTTGTGGTTATGAGCATATATATATATTATATGTGCAATGCCTGTAGTGCTAGGGAGTTGCTGTGTGGTGAGGAGGTCTTGTCCGTTTGAGAGCGTTGAGTAGAATGACTTTCACGGTTGTTGTTGTGTTGTTGAGATTGTCGGACCGTAGTCCGACATGGGCCTTTGCCTGTAGGCGGGGGCCCGTTTGGTGGTATAGGCTGGAGCTCTTGCAGCAGCCAGACCGGATTTGGGATTGAGGATGGAGGTTGTCCTACCTGCAGATATGAAAGGATAGTGCAGGTTTGCAAGTGTGAGCGGACCCTCGGACAGTGAACGCTTACCATTAACCCCCATTCTTGGACGTGGTCAATTTCGGAGTGGCGCGCCCCCCGAACTGGGGACCGCACTTGCTGGGGGAGGATACCTCCTAAGCTATCTGGTGGTGGGTATCGTGTGATGACCCGGAGAAGGTGGCGAATGTGGTTTGTTTGGGCATTTCAGGTTAGAATGCCCGCTGGTGTTGTGTGTTCTTCTTGGAAGCTTCGAATTCTGTTTCGGAGACCTTGTGTGACTTCGCAGTCGAGGAGATAGTGTTCCAGTGGGTTGGCCGCAGGCTCCTGACAGTAGGTGCATTCCCAGACGACATTTCCGATCGTCTGCCAGGTGCACTTGTACCCTAGTCGTAGTCGATGAGAGCTAACTTAGGTTTATCTTGGTGTTTTCTTGTCCGCAAAGGGTGGGTCCCCTTTTGTAGACAGTAGGTACCATTTGCGTCAAGGAAGCTCTTTTGGATGTGGAGATTGGTAGTCTTTCTGAGGTGGTTCTTGATCTGTTGCAAGCTTGCTGAAACTTGAATGTGTACACTTCTAAAACGTGTGGCTGCCTTGATCTCCATTAGCCGGAACAATTAGTGCAGAGCACTTCTGGGAATGAGAGAGATTACCAGGAAACGAGATGACTCTCTGAATGCCAGAAAAAAATCCCTCATTCCGGGAAATTTCCTGAATTTTCCAGGTAACAGAAAAAAATTCTCGGAATTTCAGAAAATGCACCCAATTTTTTTCATCCCTGAAATCCGGAAAAAACTCCCCCACCTCCAGATTTTTCTGGAATTTTACGGAAAATGTGCCCCTCAGAAAATCGCTCCCAAAGTCAGAATATTCCGTAAAATTCCGGCTGTGGGAATGATTTTCCGAGAAAATTTCAATTCCGGGTTTGAGGGATTCTGGCTAACGGAGATATTACTCTCTTTCTCTCTCTCTCTCTCTGTGTGTGTGTGTGTGTGTGTGTGTGTGAGTGTGTGTGTGTGTGTGTGTGTGTGTGTGTGTGTGTGTGTGTGTGTGTGTGCAGCCACACACAGGGTGGTGAAATGTGTCTAGAGTGGCAGCATTATGTTAGTGTTAAGGTGCATGCACTGCTTGCTCCCTCTTGGTTTCAGCTGCTGCCGCTGGTTAGCCCTAGTGGTGAACAAGGAAGCAACTTGCATAAGTATTCCCCTGCCAGTAGACAGGCTTCTC